GGTGCTGAGGAATCGAACCCAGGGCCTCGAGCATGCAAGGCAAGCGCTCTACCACTGAGCCACCTTCCCAGCCCTCGTAAGTCTTGTTTATGCTTAATACTGCTTGAGTACTGCGATGGTGTACAGAAATCCAGAAGCCAGAGAAAGCTCACAGGAGACCACTGGCAGCAGTGCTGCTGCTTTATTTATGGCTGAATGAAGGTAGTCTTGGGCTTTCTGGGTTGTAGAAATTTAGAATCTGCTAAGAAATTACTACAGAATATTGGGAACATTAATTTATAATCTTTTTAATTCTGGTAATAGGCCTCAGCATTTCTGGTATACAGTGGCTGTTTTAAAAACTAGTCAATTGGCTGTAGTGTTTTTTTTTCCCCCTACCATTTCACAGCTTTCCAGTTATAGCTGGTTTGTTTGCGTGTTAATTACTAGACACGGGTACATGCGCCTAGCTTCCCTGGTGTCCTCTAGCTATGAGTCTGAATTTAGGCCTCACTGCCTTAGTCTCACTAAAGCGAGATAGACAGAAGCCATAGGCTTAGTGGCCTTAGGGAGCACTTAGCTCCTTCGCTGGCAGCCAAAGCAGAGCCAGGTGTGTTTACTCTCTGGATGGAGATTGTCCTCATGTATAGTCTGTCTTACAAACTGACCCCATCTTAATCTCCAGCCTGTGTTGGGGCTGGTTTATGTCTTGGTAGCTTGCAGTGGGGCCTCTGGAGTAGTGGTCCACAGCTGCTTACTGGCCTTATGTAGAGGAAGAATTTTTAGACATTACGAAGCTCTTTTTAAAAGGCTAATAAGAGAGAGAAAAATTAGTGGCAATAAGCTTTAAACTATAGAATATAGAGTCACAATTTTAACATAATGTAGTTGCCACCAGGAGATGTGAGAAAGATAGATTGTATATGTACTTTAAATATTTCAACAATATGAACATACCCTTTTAGGAGCAAAATGTGGTTGAGGAATTGTGGCAGAATTTTACATGCTAGTCAGATAGTTTCTTCTATAAGCTCTGAACACACTCCCACCCCCTTCAGGTTGTGAGGGAAATGAAGTGAGGCGTCCTTTGTGAGCAGCTAGAGCTGGGCTCTTTAACGAGATGTCCTGCCTGCCTGCCCCTCTGGGGAGCTGTACAGTGTGAACTAGGGTGGTGGACCGGGGGAGGAGCAGCTCACACAACAGTGCATGTATCAGAAGCACTGTCACAAGGCCCTGTGGTCAGTGTGCAGTTTCTCACATCCTCAGAAGCTCGTGTCTGCCTGGGTTTCACTGGGTCAAGATAGCATGCCCTCAGTTTTACCTCTGTGAGATGAACTCAGCTGGTCACAGGAAACTTAGATCCCTAGTAAGAGTGGACTAAGTCTGTGAGCAGAAGGGTTTTTAAGAGGATGGGTGGAACTTTTCTCGGTAGATTCATCCCTTCCATGGCCCTTCGCTGACCCTTGTTGGTAGACACATAGCTCTCCCCTCTTCCCCTCAGGCCTTGGTCTGTGTCGGTAGACTTGGGGTCTGATGCAGGGATTTCATTTTGCTGTTCTCATCTCCCCTGGCTTCTTTTATCTCTGCTACAGAGCAGGGATGTTGAAGCTGTGAGTCCATGTAACACGGCACTTTCTTCTGGGTGTGTGTCCCTTGCTTAGCAGGGACACACTTAAGTTATGAAAAGCCCTCCATTACACAGTAGAGAGGGGAGAATTTCTGGTATGTGAAGGCAATACTGAGATTGTCTTTTTTTTTTTTTTTTTACAAGGACTAGTACGGTGTATACCCTGCTGTGCCTCTGAGAGGGCCCAGGGAAGGGCTGTGCCTTGTAGAAGGCCTGGACCTCTTCTGTCCCAGGTAAAAAATCCCTTTCAGAAACCTCGGCCCTTAAGGATCTCCTCCCAGTCATTCTTTCAGTCTCTGTTTAACTGGCCTTACTAGGACTATATTGAGCTTGATTAAAACATCCAACATCCTTGCGTAGTTACTTGAGAAGGGGCTGGTACTAGTGCGAAGAATTAAGTTCCATACAATCATGCACTTTTGCACAGTGAGTTTATCTGAAGCAGGGCGTACTCATGATCCCGGCTTTCCCCCTGTGCTGGGGGCATGGAAGGTCTGGATCACTGGAGGAGACCCGAGTCGGGCTCTGCTCCTTTGCTTATCAGCATCTTGCAGGTCCTGTTGCCATCCACCTCTGACAATTAGCTCAGCCACAGACCTCTGCCTGTGGTGTGAGGTCATGTCCCTGACTTGTCCCTTGGTTGAAACTGGAGCCACACGAGTGTGAGGCTCACAGCTTCCTGCTCTTGGCACTCATTTCCTGTGTCAGCCCTTTTCCCAGTATCCTCTGCCGCACTGAGCTGAAGAGAGCTGGGAGTCAGACTCAGCACCCTGTGCTCCCCTTCCTGGGTCCCCTAGGAAGGAGGGCAAGGCATCTCTTTTCTAATTGCACTCTGCTTGTTGAAGCTTTGGTCTGGAGATCCTTAGACCTCCGTGGGGTCCAGATCCACAGACTTCACAAGTCTGCTTTATTTGTGGTGGGAAACGTGACCCATGTCCCATGTCTGTAGTTCATTCCCCTAAGCCGTCCTTCACACATTATGTTCATCTGAACCATTTTTTTTTAATTTACCAAAGTACTGTACTTGGCTATTTGCAGTGTTTTCAAAACCAAATGTTTCTTTTTGTGTTTTTAACCTTCAATACTTGGTGCAATAGAAGCTGCAAAGATGTGCCACTTTATCTATGAAATGGAGTTTTGTATATCAATAAATTCTAGTTTAAAAAAAAAACAGTTTCAAGTTCCTTGTTGTTTTGGTGTTGGGAATGGTCCCCAGGACCTCATGCATGCTAAACAAGTGTTCTACCACTGAGCTTCTTCCCCAACTCAAGTTGTTCTACCAACATTGAACCACCATGTGAGAAAAGAGACTCACAAGCACCCTGAGAATTCTGGGGGTGGGGTGAGGTTCCATGGGGTCTGTGAGTACAGACCCTCTGTATGGGCAGAGCCATTCTCAAGACCTGAGCACTTCACAATCCCTGCTGTGTGACTGAGAACATCTCTGATAACTTTCACTTATCCGAGAGAGAGCTTGTCTGTCAGCTGCCATTCGTCTTGATCCTGGAAGGTTGGCCTGAGACCCTGTTAGCAAGGAGACTCATGTGCTAGCCGAGGACAGCAATGACAGGAACATGGACTCACCTGGAAGAGCTCTGTGGAGGGGCAGGGAGAACAGTGGACCAGCGAGAGGAAGTGCCTGTGCCCCCAGCAGGTACCCGGTCCACATGTGGACCCCGGCCAGTCTAGGCGTGGGGCTGGCACACAGACTTCACTTACCTTCATGATTTTGGCCTTGACTCTCCCCAATGTTAGCAGCTTTCAGAACTGGCTTCCTGGATCTCTGACAGCAAAACCTGGGCTTGGATGGTTCTCTGGATGAAAGAGAATATCCCAGCCATCAGCAGGGAAGGTCTGTCATTGCTATCCATGCCTGATTGAGAGTCTAGACAAACTATTGTGTTCCTGATCCCCAGAGGCCCAGATGCCTGTTGTCCATAACTCAACACGCAGCATGTACTTTGAGGATGGGGCTGAAGACCAAAGCGATGTCCTATGTAGGTGCCCCTTCCTCAACTCCCATTTAGGGGTTCAGCTGGTTCCCTCACCTCCATGCAGTAGGTGACTTGAATACTCTTTTTTTTGGGGGGGGTCCAGTCATGGGGCCTGACCTCTGGGCCTGGGTGCTGTCCCTCAGCTCTTCAGTTCAAGGCTAGCACTCTACCACTTGAACCACAGCGCCACTTCCGGCTTTTTATTCTCTTTGCTTATGTGGTGCTGAGGAATCGAACCCAGGGCTTCAGGCATGCACGGCAAGCGCTCTACCACTGAGCCACCTTCCCAGCCCCTTGAATGACTCTTAAGGACAGAAATGTTCTTAGGCCACAAAGGAACAAGGGGCTGGCTATGCCAGTGTCTCTTGAGAACTGTTTGTGGGTGCTGCAGAGAGCTGCCTGAAAACCAGAGCTTGTGAGTTTCCCACCTGCCAGACACCGGCACGGGCACTCATGGCTCCTACGTTTTCAGTCTGTGCCCAAGCAGCAATGTGGGTTGTCCAGTGTAATGTGCTGACTTGGGCAGGAAGACAGATGGTAGCAAGGCAGAGATTTAGAGTTCTTTGGTTGGAAAAGACCATGACCATGCTACTTTGTAGACCCTGATTGGCAGAAGGACATTTTCCACCTTGGAGAAAGTTTGCTGAACCTTTGTATCACAATATATTCATTCATTCCAACACCTGAGAATCAGCCCACATGGACTCTCCCTCTACTGTGTCTTCCCAAACCTTCAGCCCAGGAGATGAAAGTGACATTTAACCATGATCCATAAACATACACCCTAAAGGAAAGCTGATGTGTGTGACATGAGCACAGAAGTCAAGGAAGGCTTGTTGGAGGAGGTGACCCTAGGAATAGGCATGAGAGGAGAGAGAGTTCAGAAATAGGAGCAAAGGCATTTTGTACTGAAGGTTCAGTACAAAAACCCTGGAGTGGAAAGCATACCCCAGGTTTTTATGGTAGAGTTGACTAAGCAGACAGTTGGAGGAAGACTGAGATGTTCCTTTTTCAAACACTTCTTGTGCATTTACCACAGGATGAGTAGTACTGTGCTTGCTGAGTTCTAAAGATCCGGTGTGCCTGGTCCAGCTTGGCTGCCTTTTCAGTTTGTGGACATGGCTGCTGCATGCCCTCTGACCTGGAGATAAGAGGTAGCACCTTCCAGGAAACATGCCATTCTATCTCCTCCAGGATTAAAAAAAATTTTTTTTCTGTCAGTCCTGGGGCTTGAACTCTGGGCCTAGCTGCTCTCCCTGAGCTCCTTTTAGCTCAGGGATAGTGCTGTACCACTTTGAGCCACAGTGCTACTTTCTTGCCAGACCATCTCTCCATCCAATTACAACTATTTGCCTCTGGAGGCATCGATCCAAGGGCACATGGTTTTCAAACAAGTGTCCATTTAAGATAAATGGTCATTCAGATGGCAGGGAGCCCAGAGGCTATTCAAATAGAATATTTATCATTTCTATCCAGCCTCTCTGGGGTGGGAGATACAGAGGATGATGGAGCATCTGCAGTTTACTTATGTAAACCTTAAGACTCTGTGAGGAAGAGGAAGGTGATGGCTCTGCCCTATTTGTACATGAAAGAATGGATAACTGCTTAAAGATCACATAGTGGAAACAGAGGAAGTAATTGAACCCAGGGTTGCCTGCTCCTACCCTACTACAGCCCAAATAACTGGGTAAGCAGGGCTTGGGGAGGTCTAAAATCTCCAGATGGGAATGTAACAATTTGAGACAACCCCAAAGCATGTATGAAAAAGAGAAAGCTTTTAGGATGAGGGAAGCTACAGAAGAGCAAAGGCAGGAAAACATCACAGGGCCTGGTGTGGTATAGGTAAATAGACGCATTGATGCAGTTGGATAAAGGAGACTGGAAACATGCATAGTACCAAGCCTCAAGTGCTAGGGGCTGAGGAACAATGGGGAGCCATGACAGGGGAGCAAAGGAGTGACATAATGGAAATCAAAGCATCAGTAGCTAAGACAGACTGGATGCAAAATAGAGGGCTAGGAACCTTTGGTCCTAGGTTCTTAGCTTCGGTGTAGAACTTACAGGAGCAAGAATAATCGATGCCTGTCTGCTAGCTAACAAGGATATCTGATCTGTCTCCAGTACCTAGCAAAAGGCCAGAACCATAGTTTGTACAGCTTACTAAAGGAGAGAATGAACTTGGATAAAGGAGTCAGTTCTTTTCAGTGGCACTGTGAAGAACCCCAAAGAAGCAGAGGAAATGTCAGTGAAATCACTTGACTCTTCAGTCAGAAAATTTGTTGTAATTTCTGGTCTCTTATTCTGCAGGTTATTTAATTCAGTGCTTCAGATTCAGCTAATAGAACAAAAGCAGAGAAACAAATTCCGGTTATCAAAACAGGAGAGGTAAGTTATGAAAACATCAATGTAACAATGTGCCCTTCTTAGCCATGATGGAGTCCCTTCTCCCATCCATGCATCCATCCATCCATCCATCCATCCATCCATCCATTTGTCCATTGATCTATCGGTCTGTCCATCTGATGAATTAATACTATATAAAATACTTAGAAGAGTGCCCTGTAAATACCAAAAGCTTAATTAATGTTACATGTTCTTGTTATGACATTCATTCATAGGACATTATTGCTAGCCACATATATGTCCTTTCATATATACTAATGCCTTTAAATCTTGTCACAATCAATCTGTAAGGAAATGCAGACTGTCTACAAATGTAGACAGAGACTGGGGCCATGGCCATTTGTCAGCATCTCTTAGACTTTCATATTCATACTTGGAGGTCTTTTAACCTATCCATTCTGATATATCAGGTTCGAGACCACCTTTCTACCAAGATTCTTCCGCTGCTGCTGGTGCTGTCCATGGACCCCACTGAACAGTGAATCTTAACAGAATGCAGGTCTATTCCTGAAACCTTTGACTTCCAGTCCAAGATTCTCCTTTTGTGCAGGCCTTTTGTGGAGTCTGTAGCTGGAAATCAAGTGTGTGTACTGTCGACATGCACACAAATGGACTGAGACAGACTTTTTACTTTCATCCATTGAACATTTATTAAGACCTGGGGAGTGGCTAGGGTAAGCTGTGACCAATGGGCTCAGCTCTGGTCTGAGAGGTTGTGTCAATGGCCCCACCAGGCCGTTTCTGAGTTGCAGGTTTTACCTTGTTGGACAGTTACACAACTGTCAGATTGATCACCAGATGCTCATCTCATTGTCCCTTAGATCCATCATCCCTCTCAATTTCACCCCTACCAGAGCCACGCCCCCTACCCTCTTTCCCGATTTTCCCATTTCTGCAGAAATACCATCACCCTAAAGTAGCTGCAAAGCCTTCTTTCATGATCTCATAGGATATTTATTATTGAAAAGGCAAGTCCAGAAAGTGTACCAGCCCAGAAGCACGCTTTATTTGCCCACCGGACAAAGGAAAAACCAACGTGTAGGCCAAATTTCAACTTTTTTCCCTTAATAGTCTGAAAAAAGATGGACACCAGAGGGCGCCTCAAGACCACTTTTCCTGACAAATGAAGCTCATGCTCACCCCACACCCAGGCCATTTTTGCTATTAAGGCCTGGTCTTCCTGTGCATTCAGCCAATGACAACAGCAGAATATACATCTGTCTCGTGTTTCCTTCTTGCTAGCATACAGCTGCTTCACCTTTGAAAGTTCATGACACATCCCTTTGATGTCTTCTGAGCTTCAAAGTCCTGACTGCTCTGTATGCATTAGGAAAGGGACGAAGGGGTTGGATGTTTATGGAGCGTCCCCTGTGAGATCTGCCTTGTGCAATGCATTTGCATGGCTTCGTGTCTTTTGAGTGAGATCTCTGTGAACCCACAGTCCACCTGCGAGTTATAGATGGCAGAGCTATCCTAGTTAGAGTTAGTAAAACCCACTGGAGCACCTTGCTTCCAGGGTCGGCTGAGTGCTTCCTGCTGGGGCCCCCTTGGCAACCCCAGTATGTGGGGCCCTTTTGGCCTCTCTGCACCCTGTTCAGCTACGTGGGCTCCCAGCTGGCCTTCCCTGGGTGTCTAGTCTTTCCAGACCTCCTGGGTTTGGTTAACATGGCCACCAGAATGGGGTAATGAAGTGACCAATGTCAACTTCCTAAAGCAATGATGGGTCTGGACTAAGGAACCCCTCGGGGAGAAGGACTGTTCTTCAGTTCCCAGATGCCCTTTGGTCAAGAAGGAGGGTTTGGCATGGGTGCCAGTGGCTCCTATCTGTAAGACTAGCTACTCAAGGGGGCTGAGATCTGAGGATCATAGTTCAAAGCCAACCTGGGCAGAAAAAAAAATGAGACTCTTTATTTCCAATTAACCAGCAAAACAACAGAACCAGGGGTGAGACCCAAGTGGTGGAGCACCAGCCTTGAGCAAAAAAAAAAAAAAAAAAAAAAGAGCAAAAGGTCCTGAGTTCAAGCTTCAGTACTGGCTCAGAAAGAAAGAAAAGAAAAGATAGCAGGAAAGAAAGGAAGGAAGGAAGAAAAGGAAGGAAAGAAGGTTTGGATAAGATGGTTCTACAATGGCTTTTGCCTCTGAAACAGTCAATGTGAGTAGACACATTTTCAGGCAGATGACAGTGGGGACAATATTTTTAGGTTGGTATTTTTTATGCCTCTCAGATTAGGCCAACTGGTCAGACATGGCCATTGCCATAATTGCCTTGAATGAGAACTATAGAAATTAGCAGAAGAGAACCACAGAAGACTGCTTTCATGGAAAATGGAAAGGACCCAGTGCGGTGTTAGAGATCCTGTGTGGGTGTTACAGACTTGGTGTTTCGGTGTGCGTGTGGCACTAGTGTCACATCTAGTCCTGTGTGTCGCTGTGCTTCGAACTGTGCTCAAAATCTGAATGAACCAATGAAATGGTAGACCAGTGACTTCCTAGGATGACAGCACTGAGAAGCAAAGGGTTCAATTTATAGGGAAACACTATTCACTTCCTTGGAAGAGAGAGCTGAGATCCAAGGGGTGAGTTCGTGAGTCGTGGGCATGGAATGGCCCCTTGGTACCTGGGAACACAGGGGTGGGGTGGGGAGGTGGCCCAGAAGGCCAGGCTGTGGGAACACTGGGGGGCAGGAGTGAGGGGGTGGAGGGTGAGGAGGCATTGGCTTTGCTTGGTTCCAAGCTCACCCAGGCCTGGCCTGCAGCAGCTGGGGTGGGGCAGAGGAGGTGAGCGGGCCTCAGCAGGGTGGGGTGGGTCCGGTGCACAGCCTGTTGGGGTAGCGCGCATACTTGCGGCTGTAGGTGTCCAGATTGCGGCGAAAGCAGAGTGCAACCTTCCTGTCACACTCACAGGTTTTCTGCTGGCAGGCAGTCCTGCCGGCTGGATGGGACAAGGTAAATTGGGACAGTGAACAGAAAGAAGCACGGGCACAGACAAGATGGCCCCACGTCCACAACCCCAGCCTCAGCCCGTGCTGATGGGGACCCATGCGGGTGCGAATGTCTCTGGGACAGATGATCTTCAAGGGATTGGAGGGAAGGGAAGGCACAGGAAGGCCCGGGACACTTTGTTCTTGTGGTTTTCCTGTTCTCCCCCAAGCCACCAGACAGTCCTGAGTTCTCTCTTGCCCCAGGGAGATCAGGGGGCGCATGATCTCTTTCCCCAGCGCCCCACCCGGAGGCATTTCTAAGTCCTTTCCCCATGCGGTGGCATATTGGACTGTCAAGAAGAAGGAAATGTGTAGCCAACCCCAGATTGCCTGTGCCTGCCCCTGGTGGGCCTTTCTCTAGGCTGAAGGCTCTTAGATCAAAGCTAGGGCATGCTTAGAGTCTCCTTTTCTATCAGAGTGGACAGAGGACCCCCCCCCTCCTCGCTACCCCCTGGGAATCATAATGCCCTCCCCTCCCCAGAGCTGGCTGGTATGAGCACTACAGGTACCAGTTGTGTCTGGAAGGCTCCTTTGCCTTCTACAGTAACTACTGTCTACCCAGAGGGGTTGTGGGCTGTGGCTCTTTTTTTTTTTTTTGTCCTCAAATAAATCTCCCTGTTCAGAAAGCTTTAGTGCTCATTTTCCCCATCAAAGATCCATATTTCTCACAAGGATTCTGATCACACCATGGATTTCAGTACCATCCCCACAGTGGACCATCCCAATCTTGCATGGACTGCCCCCCCTTCCCCCAGTGACGGGAGCTCACTACCTAACCAAGCTGCAGGAGTCAGATGCTGAGCCAGCTCTGCCAGCTCTGCCTAGGTAGGTAAGTCTGGCCCTCACTCAGTGCCTCCCCCATGAGATCTGAGCTGGGACTCTGCCCGCCCACCCAAATCCTTTCTGCACCCCTCTCCCTCCCTCCAGTCAGCACCTGGATCTAGGTGACAAAAAGGCTTGGTCCTCTGATTCTCCTGCCTTCTAGTTCCTCTCTGGCTCTCTTGGTGTGTGCTGCTTCTCCAGTCGGGGATCAGAGGGAAGTTAATGGGATCAGGTGGGCATGGGGTGTGGAAAGTGGAGGAAATATAGCCTGCCAATCCTACAAGGGCGAATCAGGCTTGGGGACCAGGGTCACAACCCAAAGCTCCTGCTTGTGTGGTAGTGATCTCATGCTGGGGAGGGGGTGGTATGACTCCAGGTCTCCAGGCTGTGACTTAGCTTTGTCCCTTCAGCCTCGAGCTGGGAGGAAACATCTGGGGCTGAGGCAGGTGCTCTGGAGCCTCTGGGCCCCAGTGTCACATGACCCTGGCGGGGGGGGGGGGAGGAGCTTGTGTGGCAGCCCAGGGTCTGGCCCTTGAAGCCAGGGCCTTGAACATGCTAGGTGATCCTTTACCACTTGAGCCATGCTCCCTAGTCCAGGGGTTTCTTCTGTCTTAAGCTGACTCCCCCCTCCCCCACTTGCCCCTGCCACCATATTTTGGCCATGTTTGGGGCCACTCTAGGACCTTTCTACCTACCACAGAGGATGCCACGGAAGCCAGCAGAGAAGATGTACTTTTCCAGCTTGGGCTCGCAGCCCAGCTTCTGAAGGCGCCCATAGCAGCAGTCATGGGCATGGCAGCACCTATTGGGGTCATGGTCAAGAGCTGTAAGCCGAGCTGGGCCAGACCAGGGGCTGCTGGGGGCTGGGCCCAAGGTAGTTCAAAGGAAAGGGTCAGTCCCCTGCTCATCAGGTGGCCCCCAATCCTCCCTCCCGCCCCCCTCCCCCCCCCGAGGGGCCCCCTTGTCCAACTCCTCACCAGTCAGTCTGGTCTACAGGCCAGTGGGAGCCACCAACCCCGCAGTAGCAGCCATAGTCATTATACTGTAGTGCGGATTTGCCCGTCATCCTCTCGATCATGATCCCAAGCTGAACCAGGTTCCCATGGGCCAGTGCCACTGCAGAGGGGGGAGGGCGGAGGCTACGGGGCCCCTCAGGGGCATCAAGCATCTCTCCCCGTGACCTGCCCCTCTTGTTTCCTCAAATCCCATTCCAGGCTTCTCTCTGATGGGCCAATTAAGCGCCTCTCCCAGAAGTACCTCTCCCCGCCACCAATGATAAGTTGATACTTTAATTTCCTAGACCGCCCCCCCCCCCACCATCACACCAGCTCAACCCCACACCCTCTGTTCTCCACTTCCTCCTGGAACATCACTCACTTGCCCCTTCTCATGGCCTCTGTCTCCCCCAAGAATATTCCGTACCCCAAATCTCTGTACCCCCCAAAGCTATCATTGGTCACCCTAGTAGGCCTCCCTGGATTCCTCCAGATCTTCCTGACTCAGTCACAGGCCAGAGCCCACAGGCTAAACATGGAAGCCAGGGCAGAGAGGAGCCCTGGGTGTACCGGCCTGTCCTGTGCCCCCCATGCCCCTTCAGACTGCATTCTCCTCCCTCTGCTGGCCTCAGGATCAACCCCTGGATGGTGGCAGAAAGTGGGGGGTCCTCTGCAGATCAGGGAC